GTGCTTTAATGTTAAAAGAACAAGCTGGGTTTGTACCTGGGTGAGAAAAGTACTTGATTGGAACAAAGTACTGCAAGTAGTTTCTGGCTGTACGAGCATCAGGCGTTGCTGTCCTTCTGTCTGTCCTACACTATGGGCTGTGCAGAGCCTGTGCTCCTGGCTGAGACATGACTGAGCTGAAAATCACCAAGGATGGCAGAGTCAACACTTGCAGGTGGTTCAGAGCACTGCAACGGTCCCTGCTGCTCTGCCCTGGCGCCTGTGACTGTGGGGAGAGAATCAGAGGCTGTTACTCACTGCCTAGACCTGGGCTCCAGAGGCTGGACTTGCGCTTGGCCTGCCAGGATGGACAGTTGTGTAACCCAGGGAAACCGCTCACAACGTCTGCACACAGGGGCTTGGAGCAGCTTGGACACAGAAGTAGAAGAGGAGCTTTGTGCTCTGTCTCTTGCTTGCTTGGGGACTGAGCTCAGGATGCGTTGCAGCCAATATTACTTTGTTACGGAGATCTTGGGGTCCTGAACTGGGGGGTCTGAGGAGTTTGGGGGTACCTGATCTCACCCAAGGCAGTTCAATGTCCTGTGTCCATCTCTCTGCCCAGCATGACTCACTTGGCTGTACTGATGGTCTGAGGGCTCAGTTCTCCAGACAGGCTAGAACCACAAGCCCTGAGCAGGCTGTGGGCTCTGTGTGGGGCTGATTCCCAAGTGCTCCTGCTGCACAGAGAGCATCATGCCATGGGAGGAGCACTCAGCTTTGGGCTGCTTGTTTAGAGCAAACATGAATGGCTCATGCACCCAGGCATGGCTGTGTTTGTGTCATTTTAAAGGACACATCATCTGCTGACCCCAGGAATCTTTTCAGTTCCAGGGAGGAGTGTGGTCCCTCAGCACGGTGCTGTGTGATGCCCTGATGACCATGGACGTGATGCTGTGCACAGCTTCCATCTTCAACCTGTGTGCTATCAGCGTGGATCGGTGAGTGACTTCCTGCTCTGGCTGTACCTGAGCAGCACCCTGGTTCCACAGGCCCTTGCCAGTGTCCCAAGCAGGGAGGATTCTGCCCTCCCCTAAGGAGGCTGTTCTGCCCTAATGTCCTCCAGCACCAGGTTTGTGTCCCATCAGTGGTGGCCAAGCTGAAAGCTCATTGTGTGATGACCCAGAGCTGTCCCTTGGCTGTTCTGGTTGTAGCCCAGGCCTCAGCTGTTAGTAAAGTAAATTAATGGGGAGAAGGACAGTGGCAATGAGTTTAAGGCCGCTCGGTTTCATTAGCAGCGGTGCCACCACCACACCAGGACTGACTCTCTCGAGGGCTATGTTGGCAGGTTCATTGCTGTTCAGATCCCACTCAACTACAACCGGCGGCAGATCGACCTGCGGCAGCTGATCCTTATATCCACCACCTGGATATTCGCCTTTGCTGTGGCATCCCCGGTCATATTTGGCCTCAACAATGTCCCAGACCGGGACCCCAGCTTGTGCCAACTGGAGGATGACAACTACATCGTGTATTCCTCCATCTGCTCCTTCTTCATCCCATGCCCTGTCATGCTGGTTCTGTACTGTGGCATGTTCCAAGGACTCAAGCGCTGGGAAGAAGCCCGGAAGGCCAAGCTGAGAGGCTGCATCCACGGAGCCAACAGGAAGCTGTATCACCCCCCAACCTTGATGGAGAGAGAGCAGACCCGGCTGGGGCTGCTGGAGTGCAGCCCCTACACCCGTGCCGGCCTCCCTGGGGAGTGTGGAATGAACAGTGGGATCCAGACTGTGTCCTACCCACACCTCAGGTACCCACACCCAGGGCATGGGCGCAAGCGGGCCAAGATCAACGGCCGGGAGCGCAAGGCCATGCGGGTGCTGCCGGTCGTCGTCGGTGAGTGGCTGTCAGGGATGGCTGGGGAGGGTGGGAAATGTGCCACCTTGTCACACCACAGCACTCAGACTGGCAGGACCTGTGTGAATCCAGAGCAGTGCCAAAAACCACCCACCTTGAGAAAGAACACATACAGTGTTTATAACCCAAACCCCACTCCAAGGCAAACCTGTGACTCCCAATATCTTACATGCAAAGCCAAAGCAAGACTAACATAAGACTTTGCATTAATGTTTAGCACAGGAAAAACATCTGAATTTTTTGTCTAGGCATAAGCCCAGCTCCACATGTCAGCACAACTACTGCCTTTTCCCTGCGTGCCTGAGCTGTGTATGTCTTTTTTGGCTCAGGCTTTGTTAAATTAAACCCTTTTGAACATTCACATCACCTTCTCTCTTTATTGTCCTCCTGGCAGGTGCTTTCCTCTTCTGCTGGACACCTTTTTTTGTGGTGCACATTACCAGGGCTCTCTGCAAGTCCTGCTCCATCCCCCCTCAAGTCACCAGCACTGTCACTTGGCTGGGCTACGTCAACAGTGCTCTCAACCCCATCATTTACACCGTGTTCAACGCCGAGTTCAGGAACTTCTTCCGCAAAGTCTTGCACCTCTTCTGCTGAGCCCTCTGTGCAGGAGGAGCCACTGGGTCATTTTTTTGTATAGCTCATTAAAGATCTATTTCTGCCTCTTGTCTGCTGTCTTCGTTGGGGATGAGAGGAGGATGAGGAGAGTTGGCAGTTGGAGGAAGGGGCTCCCCAGGTCCTTGTAGTAAGTGTCACAGGTGAGGACCAGTGGATGCAGCTTGAATGCTGTTCCCACTGGAAACTGCTAAGTGTAGCCACTTCTTTAACACTTGCTGCTTGATGTAAGCAGCGACAATAACAGTAATTTCTAATCTTCTGGCTTCTGGGGTGGTATTAAGAGGGCTGTGAGGTGACATGGACATCAGTCTGGGGAAAAAAAGGTTGTTAAGCTAATTTCCCAGATGTCCACATGCCAGACAAGGGTACCAAGCTCATTTCCAGATGTCCATTTCTAATCTTCTGGCTTCTGGGGTGGTATTAAGAGGGCTGTGAGGTGACATGGACACGAGTCTGGGGAAAAAAAGGTTGTTAAACTAATTTCCCAGAAAAGGGTACCAAGCTCATTTCCAGATGTCCATATGCCAGGTGAGGGTGAATGTACCTATGCAATCTCCTTTCCCCTTATCCTTGATAATTTTAAACCCAAAACCTGATTTCTCACATGTTTAACAAGGGTCTTAAAAAGGCACCATACTGTTGTTGATAGTGCTCCAGAATTTCCTGTGAAGCCACACAATTCCTCCCAGGAACCATTTCCAGCCTCAGGAAAAAATCCTTCATACCTTTAGGTGAACCTGCATGCAGTGACAGCCACATCAGCGAGTGGGACAGGTGCTGCTCATCACTGAGGCGCGGAGGGGAGAAAAATAATATTGCAGAAAATTAGTCTTCCAAGTAATGATTTTGTACAGGATTGTTGCTTTCCAAAAGGGAATTTGCTTGGAAGCAGAACGGAAAAGGGACATCTTGAGTATTCCTTTGACTAAAAATAACGCTCAATTTCTCATCAGCAAACAGATTCAATTCCCACATTATTATAGTGTGCATTTCTGAGCTGTCACATGGTGGGTTGGGGCACAGCTGTCCCAGGTATCAGGGCACCATGGGCTTTCCAGAGGTACTGTTTCAGAGTTGTCTTTGCTGCATCCAAATGCAGGATACAAGAAAGCCTGTAAATGAGCTGTGTTAGGTTGGGCTCCATTAAGACTGTCTTCTCAATTAACTAATTGTCTCCCAGCTGTAGGCAACAGGCAATCAGCATTTAACTGTGAGCAGAAACCATTTCCAACACTCAAGTACTACTTTGGAAAGCAGGAATGAGCATTGTGCTATGGGAATAGAAGGAGTTGCCTGTTTCTTCCTTCACAGGAGTATCAGAGGTAATTTCTGTTCCCATCCTACCTCAGTTCCTGCTTGGCTTTTGTTGGAAGCATAGTTTCTTCTGGAAGAGCTGCATGCTGTGGCCACCAGCTCCTCACCCTCGATGGCACCGCAGTGCTGCCCTGGGCCTGCTCCTCTCTGTGTTAGGAGGAATGACTTTCCCAGGAAACAGCCAGGAAGTAACACCACCTGCCACTGACTGTGGGAGCCCTGTCACCTCCCTCCATGGGAGACTGAGGACTGAGGATGCCCCTCAGGAGCTGGTGCCACTGGCAAAACCACCAAGGGCACTTCTGAGAGATGGAAAACCAGCTCCTACTGCCTTGGAACACATGGAATGCAACCTAACATACCTTTAAGATGCAAAGTGGAAGGAATAGATTTGTCAGAAACCTCTAGTCTTTTCCCTGGAGATCACCTTTGAGTCTTTTCCATGGCAATTTTCTCTCTTACTAAGTTTCCCATAAGTCAGGATAGAACCTTCTCTGTTTGACAGCATGGGTTGGGTTGGGTCACTGTGGTTCAGGTGACCCTGCCTGGCACAGGAGCTCAACAGTCATCCTCATCCACCATCACCAAACTGGAGAAGACAAGAGCCAGGACAAGTGACCCCTCAAAGGGGCTGTGACCCCTCAACCAGAGCAAACAATACTAATCCTTCATGGGGGTTGTGAGACCTCATGGGGGCTATGCCTGGAGCTAAGAACAAACCCAACCAAATAACCAGAGACTTGTGCACCTGTCACAACTCCTCTGAAATCTCCAACCACAAACAAAGGTTTAACTTATTTAACAAATAAATAATTTAATTAACTATTAAAATAGTAGATTAATAATTCAAATTATTTTGTTGTAGTGAACAAAGAAAAGTAACTCCCTAATGGTCAGCACATCTCTAATTAGCAGTTCCTACAGGGCAGGAACAGAACAGCCCCATATCCATGTGTGCTCACCTTGGGCTTGATCCCATCTGATTCTGGCCAGCTGGATGCTATGAGTGATATTCCAGGCATGCCATGGAATGAAGCTGTGCTTCCCTGTGGAGAAAACACCTCCCAGGTAGACAGGGAGTACAGACACACATGCAGCTGTTGGTGCATTCACCTGAGCAGTTACCTGTACTGCAAAGTGCTGCCCTGGTAATTAAGGGGAACCACTGGGCACACTTGTGCTTTCATTGCATTTTATTTAACAACATGTTATTTTTCAACTATATTTAAGTGAAAAAGCTCCAATGTGTTCGATTTGCCCAGCACAGAGGGAACACAGGAAACCCAAAAATCCTTTCAATGCCAAACTAAGAACTTGTACCGACTTTGTCAAGGCAATTAAATAAACCAGGTCCCAGCAGGAGGAAGCACTGGCAGATCTCCTGCTTCAGATTCATCTCAAGAGAGATGAGGAGACTGCTGTAATCCACATGGTGGAAGATCCAGTCAGGCAAAGGCAAAGCCTCCCAAAGCCAGCTGGGGCTGGGACAGAAGGGAGAAGATTCCAGATAAGGTTTTCACAGTCTGTATTATCCAAAGCTTTGGAAGGGGATCGGGAATAGACAAGTGTATCAAAAAATCAATGAAAAATGAGTCTGCTAGCGAGAAGAGTGCTGTTGGCACAGGACAGACCATTCCCATCGGTCACTGATCCAGCTGGCCCCACGTGTCCATGAACGGCTGCGGAGGTAGAGCGCTCACACGGTGACCTTCTCCATGACATTATCCGGGACATGCACCTCACCCCCTTGCACCGTCACCGTGGCTGACTGGCCACAGATGTGCTGGTGGTCCTTCCAGTCCTGCCAGGGGAGAGCAGAGGGAAAGGCTGTGAGCAGAACAGGCCCTTGGAGAAGGGCCCTCTCTGTGTGAGAAGCACTCTCTCTCCACAAACCAGACTGATGACGGAGGACAAAGAAGCCACACACTGGATCAATGTAAGAGGTTGAATTTGACTAAGCAGAATGCTGCCCTCTCCACACAAACCACAATCCAGGATATCAGTGTCAGTCAGATTGAAAATTGACTAAAACTGAGTCTTGACTTAAAGCCTCTCCTGAAAGGCAGCTCTCAACAGTGAATGCTCCCGTGGGACAGCACTGTGCTGGGATCTTAGCTCAGCTAGGACAGGGACAGATTCCTTCTGGAATTGACTGAATTCAGGACAGATGACTCAGCCTGAACCTGGCCACCCAGCAGAGCTGTAACTGGCTAAGCAGAACTATCCTTCTCTCCAAGCGGGGGCCAAAGGTCACTGTAAGGAACTGGTCTGAAACATGACACACAGCAGATTCCTCCACTGTATTTCACACCCGTTCCCACCTCCCAGGCTCAAAACTGTAGAATCTGTCCCACTGTATCACCTGCAGCGTCACAAATAATGGAAAGGAGAACTATGTCCTCAGTGCCACTGCAGGAGCAGCAGGGAAGGAAGGAAGCAGCTCACCAGGAAGCAGCAGGAAGGAGCTGTAAAAGTGCTCCCAGCTCCCCACAGTTCCCAGTGAGGTGTCCATGCTTCATTTCTAGTGTTACTTGGATTTTCTGGGTCACCTTTAAGAAGGTGTGTGCAAACCTGGGGACCTTCTCTACCCTTTTAACCGCACCCAGACTTGCAGACCTGCCCCATCACTACGGCCTTGCTGGTGATCTCATTGGCAGGGTGGGTTTTGAGTGCTTAACCCACGCAAGGCTCTGCTCTGACTGCCTGGCTCTGCTGTCCGTTCCTCCCTCCATACTGACACCCATCAGGTGACAGCCCGAGCAGCCTGGCTGTCCCCAGGGCCACACAGCTGTCTCCGGGGAACTGAATCCCAAGTCACAAGCAAGCTCATACCTTCCGCTGGCAGAACGTGGAGCAGTAGTTGACTTTGTGGCATCCTGTGCACTCATTGGTGGCCTCCCGTCCGCAGTTGACACAGGATTGCTGTGGGAAGCAATAGAGAGGGACAAATCACACAGAGACAAACCAAGGGTGTCACCGAGGTGCAACAGTGGTGCCGTGACCAGCTGGAATGCCAGAACAGTGGGAAAGCTCCCGTTTTCCAAAATACCCTCAGCACACCAACCCACAACAAACAGGCCCAGTGGCCCCTGGATACACCCTCAGAGATCCACTCTCCTTGCTCTTTTAGCAGGGATCACTTTGGAAAATGAAATGCATCTCTGTTTTTCTTTGTGTTGGGCAGAAAGCCCTCCAAAACTGTGTGTGAACACTGAGTGGTCACAGAAATCCACCCTACCACCGCAGGAAAACCTCCCTCCAGACTGGTCTGGTATCCATCAGTCAGGTAACTACAGGAGTCAGGTGTATCCCACCCAGACATGTCAGGCTGTGCACAGGCTGTTGACACACAAGCTCTGAGGTTATCCCAGATTTGAAGGTTTAAAGGCAGATTTCATGAAGGGCAACAGACTAAGAATATGGATGGGACCCTTCAGGTATCTCCCCTAGTTTTAGAGAGGAAAAAGGCATCTGCTCCTATGGGATATGTTCCTTGGTTCTTTTCCAGTCATGACTACATAAGTAGTGCACCAAGAGGGAAACAGGAGTCAAATTAAGAAGGTTCTAACAGAAGCCAGGATTTAAATCCAGAAGCAAGGCAAGATATGATACACAGGTGAAAAATCACACCTGCTTTTTAAGTGATGTTTTTGTGTCTATCGCTTTTATCTTATTTTGGTGACATCAATTAACATAACCTGTATATTTAGGAAACATCATTGAACTGCCATCAAAATAAGCACTTCACAGAGCATTCCACTTCCAGCTCATTAAATACCTGACAAATCATTAGCATGTCAGTAGCAGTGACAGGAAGCGTTGCTGGCCTGTGAAAGTATTGTGGGCTCATCAGTTCCTCCAGGTTTCTTCTCTCTTTAACCAAAACCAGCCCCAAAATCAGTGCTCTGATTAACACCCCCTCTCACACCTTTCCATGTACCTGCAGTGACGAGCTGGTGAGACTGAACTGTGTTTGTGCTCCTGATGTGCAGCTGTGGATTTGGAATACCAAAAATGGCTTAAAGATGTGATCTGGGACTTGCAGAGCCTGCCCTGAGGGCACACTTGACTGGGGCTGTTTGAGACCTGTACAGCTACTGGAAAATGTGGAAAATACATGGGGCATGGTTGTACCTGCAGATATGAAAGAGAAATGAGCAACACAGCTCTGAGGGCTTCAGTCATGGGTCCAGAACTAACTCCCATTCCAAAAGCCAGAGGAAATTGTGGAGATATGAAACAGAACAGAAAGGAAACAAATTCTCTTCCTGTCACAGCTCTGTGACAGCCACCCACTAGAGCTACAGCACCACCACTCAGAAGTGAGGGAGACTGATTAACCTGGCCAGGTGAAGGAGCATAGAAAACTGGAATACTTGGGAAAGGGGAGACGCTGCTTGGAGCACTGGCCCTACTAGGAAGGGCTCAGATCCTTTGCCAGAAGGCAAGACACAGAGCACAGGATTCCACAGCAATGACAAAACCTCTGAGTCTTAGACAAAGACCAAAAAGCTCTCCACAACATGAGACATCCCCAGCCTACCTTGATGATGATTTCTGTCTTCCCATCCACATCCTCTGTTTGTTGGAATAACTGGCTCTGGTATTGCTGCAAGGAAAACACACCAGACATGTAATTTCTCAGCCAGAGCATGACGTGAGGGGTTGGAAAGTGTGCTGGGATGGAGGGTCCCCATGCTGAGCTGTGTCTGCCCAGGCCCACACAGCAGTTGCAAGAGGACAGGGTAGCCCCTCACTCCTAGGAGACAGGGAAAGGAGTCTGTGAGAAAATGGCCTGAGGTGATAAACTGCCAGTTCAGTACAGCATTTCCTCCAAGCCCAGCTCCCCACTCCATCCAGCCATAAACTTGTCCTTAAAATGGGGGGTTTAACTGCAACCCCCCCTCCCCCCCGGGAACTGGGGAATTAGCACAGGGGACACAAGGAAAATGGCAAGGTAACAGGGCCAAGTGGCACATTCCAGGGCCAAAATTTGGGTCAAGTCCAGTGATCCTAATTCACTAAGAGGCAAAGGAGTCTGGAGGGAAGGTACAGCCAAACAAAAAGGATTAGGGAAAAAAAAAAGCTGAAGAAAATTAACACACCTTAGACTTTAGCAGCAGTACTAACCATAATCATTACTCCTCTTTGAAACAGAAGAGTCAGAGGGCTGTAGAACAAGTTGTGACTCCATCACTCCTCTGGAGGAGATCAGAACCCACTCTGGCTGCCTGGCAGAATCACTCCACACCAGCTCAAGCCCAATCAGGTGCTTGCAGCAGCAACACCTGATGCAGCAGCAACATGCTCAGCAATGGAGGACAGAAGTCCCAAACCAATGACATCCAAACCCAATCCCAAATTAATTATGTGCTAACTCTGGCTTAAATGTATTTGGAACAGTTAAAAAGTCTGAAAAAAGCTGAACCCCTTCCTCCAGGCCAAGCAGGTTCATCCAAGAGTTGACTCAACACATAAGGAGATTAAAGGCTTAATTTACAAGTGTATGACCTGAGAGCACAGTATTTATTCTCCTGTGAAACCACAACCTTCAAAACTTTGATATTACCGTGACAGAAATGAAGTGAAAAAACTCTTGGCAGATGGAGGCGGAGGCAGAAAAACCTCTTGCTGTGGCCTGCCAGGGGTGTGATTTGGATTTGCCCTATTTGACAAGGCAATTCCAGCCATACACAAACCATGCAGAAGGAAAAGGTGTGCTAAGAGAGAGGAACAAGCCAGATGCATTCAGAGCTCTCACAGAAAAAGCTCCACAAAACCCAGAATCTCCCATTCCCAAGAGCATCACTGCTAGTATGGAGTACACAAGCCACTGTTTGCTGATTTCTTAACTGTCCAACCCTTTTTAGATTAATTTCATACTCTCCAGCCCTGAATTGGTTTAATCTTTCTAAAAAAGCGTTCAGATGCTGCAGCTGTTTGCTGATTTAATTCTCCACCTTGCTTTCAAATGAACAGGGCTCCAGAAGCATCTCTGCTTTAAAGAGTGCTATTCCAAATAAAACATTTGTGGGCTTTCAACACTCATTCTTTTCAACTTATACAGGAAATTCAATTAATGCACTTCCTGAAACTCTTTATTGTTCCCCAGCAATTCTGGCACAGAATTTAGTGTGTATGTGTAATGTCCCCATCCTACATTTTATCTGATATAAACAATGGATTAATGCACACTCAGAAAAATTACATTCCCCAAGCACACCAACACGTCAGTCCTGCCTTTAATCTCTTCATTTTGGGCCTGATCTGCAAATGTCAAATATCTATTGCAAGAGACACCAAGCCTTTGTTACCCCACTCACCCTAAATCCCCAGATGTCTTTCCCTTACCAAAAAATGCAGCAAAGGCGACATGGAGATATTAACCAGGGAATCAGATACTCAACCACAACCTAATTACTAATGATACTTGAGAACTGTTTCTTAACAGTCACATGAAATTCCACCAGAGCAGTTGTATTTAACTAATCCCACACAAAATGCTGCAATTCAGAAAACCCTTATAAATGTCTCCATATTTCCATTTTTTGCAATATCATGATGTATTCTGGAAGTTCATATAAACAAGGAGCTGGAGGGCTCATGGTTTGCTTTTCTTTCAGCATATCATTCCCCAGGACTTCTAAGTATCACAAATGTAACCTTACTCAGAGAATCCTAACACTTTGCAAACTTGCACTGAGTTGCTCTCTGGGAAGGAAGTGTTATTTTAATCTGAAGCACAGTGAGGTCATCAAAATGACTTGTGGGAAAGATGGAAACAAAATTTGAAGGAGATTCTCAGTCTTGAAATTTACCCAACAAACCATGACCCTTGAACAAATTTACAGAAATTAAGAAGTCCAAAGAGAGCAACTGAGTGCATTTCAAAACTACCAAAGTACTAAATTATGTGCTAAAAAACCTCCCTGCTGGTGAAGCCTTTATCTCCAGCACCTGGAACAGTTCTTTCAGATGGGATAAGGATGTGCCCAACCCCTGGCATAGGGCTGAGATGGTACAAGGAGGGAGGCAGAGTGCAAACCCCTCACTTCAGAGCTGTATGAGTCCCACAAATATAAACACTGCCCAGCACAGAGCACAGCTTTTGCTATTTAAAGTTAAAGCAACCTAACTGCTGCTCTATGGGAGCAGGGCAGCTCATTTGTGCTATTTAATGCCTCTAAAGCTCATTAAATAATAAATATAATACCAAAACACACTATAGTGAGTGATGTGTAACATACAACGAGGCACCTGAGTTTGTGTATCCAGCTAGGAACCAGTGTTTCTATCAGATCTCTACAATACTGCATGTACTAAGTCACTCTTCCAGGAAGAGCTGAGTCTGCAGCTCTGTTATTATCTCATCTGTGGCCCAGCCTCGCTCTCCAGCTCCAACACAACGACACCACCAGGAAAGGCTCCCCCTGTTTGCTCACCCTTGGAAGTTCTGTCAGTGGAACAAAGAAAGTGGTAATTAAGCACCAATTTCCTTTGTATTAAACTGGCCCAGAAAAAAACCCTACCTGAAGGGCAGGAAGACCCCTCTGTCTGCCTGTCATATACCTTAACTGCCCAAAAAGCCATGGGACCACACACGTACCCAGAGGGGGAAAGAGCCTCATGTTACAAGCCACTAGGAAATTGGGAAAGACCCTTTGACCAACACAAAAGCAGAGAGACAATTCTTTGACCTTTAGTGTAATTGCTTCCCTGTATCCAGGAACACAGAGTTTTGTCCAAATATGGAATTCACCAGCAGGAATTAATTCAGAGAGAGCTACCTGTGATACTGCCTGGATGGTTCCAGCAGCCAGCATAGCTTAGAATTGTCTGGATGATAAAAAATACCACCATGAGTATGTGATTTCACCACAGTGCACAAGTGTGGAGGTCCCCACACTTGTGGATGTGGGGATGATTACACACTGCAAATGGTGAGACACAAGTGGTGTAACTGGGCATGTAGCAGTTCCTGGGAAACAAGTTTTCTCTGGAAATCATGTGCTCATCCTTCCCACGTCAAGTCAGCTTTAATCTGTATACAGGAGGGATTCTAACTCCCATTCCTAGGACAAGAAGTAACTAGAAGAACATCAAAGACAGCTGGTTTTGGATCAGAGGGTGTGGAGAAGGGACTGAACAACCATTCCAGAAACCACTGTGAGGATAAATAGAAAGGAAGATGCACATAGACTGGAAACAATAAAGGAGAGTGAAGCTAAAAAAAAGCAGATGTTTATGTCTGAACTGTGCCAAAGCTTCCAATATTTCAGTGTCCCACACTCTGTTCAGCTTTCCAGCAGTAGCCAGCCCATACCTGGGCAGCAGCACTGGCGCCTGTTCTGCAGGAGGGAGGCAGGGAAGGATTAGACTCTCAACTTATCACACACCTGCCCATCAAAGATGCATCCTACGGGAGAGTTTAGCAGAGTCAACATGGCAATGAATATCAAAGAGGCTGCAAGGACTGTCCTAGGGGTCCTCAGCTTCCAGCAAAGTCTTCCCACACCTCTCTTCCAGGCCTGTCGCTGCACACTCGTGCCTATGGATTCAGTGGAAAGCTGACGTTAGCATGATGCTGATGGCACCATCAGGAAAGTGATGTTTGGGAAGGGCATTCAGCAGCTACTAATGGTGACACCAGTTCCAACACTGCCCCCCACCTCTCTCCCCAGTTCACACCAGCTGTGGATCTGTGGGAGAGGGAGAACACCTTCAGCATGAAGCTATACGTGGGTGCATGCATGAGCTGGTGGTCAGAAGGATTCGAGATCCCTACCATGCATCAGTTACAGAGAAGAAGAGCAGGGAGAAGAGGGAAGTCGTTGTGGGTAATCCCTGTCCACAAGACAGAGAAGACGGGAACCAGTCAGGGCTTCTGTGGGGCCAGGCAGCCTGCCAATCCCACCACAGGACTTGTGTGAGTCAGCTTTGCTTGCACAGTTCCCAGCAAAACACCTCTAAACTTTACTGCTTATCTTCCCGAGAGGGATCAAGCTGATTTTTATTTATGGTTCGACATATGTTACACATGAGGTGAAGAATCCCTGTAAGGGCTGTCTGTTCATGTACTGGCAACCCTGTTCCTGCGAGGGCTTTGCCTGGCAGCCATTCAGGGCAGAAAAAACCTCCATGATCAGGCTGTCAGCGATCCGCCCCACTTGCCGGTGGGGTAAATGCCTGGATGCCCACGAATGCCCGGGAAATCAGGCTGTAGAAGGAGCCTTAGCACATAAAAGCAGCTAACTGCAACAAAATGGCGAGCCATTTTGCTTTGGGTTTCTTTTGGGCATCAGGGGCTCGCTCGGAAAGTCACCTTGGCCCTCTTCACCCCCACCCCTTACCTTTTCTTCCCTGTGGTCCTGCTTCCCTGCCTCTACCTGCTTTGCCCTGCTTCACTGCTTCCGTGAACCAGCTCATTGCCACGATGACCTTGTGCTCCACTGGCTCCCTGGCGGACTGGGTGCCACCGCAGCCAGCTGCCTCCACCGCGTTCCGCAGCTGCAGCCGCCTGCACCCAGCCGTGACTGCCGCCTGTTTCTGCACTGTCCACCCCACCAACCTGCCATGGCACTGAGCCCATAGCCACCAGCCTGTTACCACCGCCTGCAGCCAGACAAGCCCGCAGTCAACGCCGGGGGCACGCTGCCGCCGCCGTTTGAAGATTGTGCCCAACCACTCACAAAAGCCGCAGGGGCTCGCTGCGCCTTGGCAATGATCCGCCTGCTGAGCTGACACCAACAAGAGCACCGGTGTTCTTGTGGTAACGCTGTCCCTGTCTTCTGGTTTTTTCTCCGTCTCTCTTTTCTCCTCTCTGCTGTCTTTTCTATCCCACTTCAGTAGGGCGCTTACCCTTATTTATATTCGGATATAATATTGCTGCATTTGTGCTTTATTTTGATCTGAGAAATCTATCCAAAAGAATCCTCCCCAATCCCTCTTTTACCTTGGGACGGAACACTTCCCTATAAACTCTGGGGTAAGCTGTTCCACATATCCTACTGAAAGCCCAGCTCACCTGCCAGCAGCCACTGCACTGCTGAACACTCATCAGCTTCCTCAGACCAGGATTCAGTGCCCACATCCCATACATTTATGGACAGCTGATGGGAGAGCTCAGGATCGTGACACCAAACAGTCTGTACAACCAGCCTGTTGCCCACAGCTCCCGGAATCCCAGAGAACTTTATTCCTTTCCTCAGGATACAAAAAACTTAGGAAGATTTCTCTTGCTAACATTGCTTTCAAGGCTTGGAGAAACAATTTCCAGTATCACTGCTCCAGCCAGAAACTACTCTGCTCACCACTCAGCCCCAAAGGCGCCCATGGCTGAGCCGCTGTGGCACAGTTACCTCTTTCCTCTCCACATCAGCCTGGATCTTGGCCTGTGTGACAGCAGCCTCGCGGAAGGAGGAGCTGGCCTGCTTGGCTTGCTCAATCAGAGTCTTCAGCTGCTGCGCTGTGCTGAGCAGGGAATTGACCATCTCCTCCAGGTAGAGCCAGCTCCGCTGCTCCGTCACCTCCAGCCCGTTCACCACTGATGGCGACATGGCTTTGGTGGGCGTCGCGGGGGGCACTGCCAGGGCAGGCAGAGAGGTCAACACTGGACATAAGGAACAAAAGAGAATATATAGACAGGGTGTTTCATTTCCATGAAATGGTGGCGGGGGAGGGGGTGTGGGCTGTTGGGTTTTGTGCTTTTTCTATGCAGTTTGGTTTCTTTTTTAAAATATGGTTGTAAAATTTCCAATCCAGGAAAGTCTTTGTTAAACAGATAATTCCTTCTGCAACATCAAATGCAGGTCTGTGCAGAACAAGCCCATGGGCACTCTCAAACCCACAGGACAAGAACACCTCCTCTTAACCTGGATGACTCTGGGAAGACTATAACACCTCCCAGCACTGCTGTAGAGAAGCACCATGATGCAGTGAAAGCGGCATTCCCAGGAACTCCTCCACCACTGCCAACAATATTTCCCTCAGCCATGGCTAGGTGAGGTTAGAGTAAGTCACTCAGTGACCCAATACTTTACAGAAACATCCTGATGATCCTACCCAGATGTCAATTCTAAGGTTGCAAACCACAAAACTCAAGTACTGATCCACATCACACTCTCTGTGCTTCCTGAATTCCGACCTTTACATAAACTTGGTCAGACACTGGACTTAAACCCAGACAGTCACTATTACCTCCAAGTGAGTGTATTTCAAACATGGACTTTCCAAAGCCATGGGTCGGGAAGCCCTTTAATAACCCAGCAGTTACTGTGCCACTGAACCAGCTACTTTTCACATTAGGTTTGCATGTACACTGAGAGATTAGGGTATGATGAAATTAAATCCAGACCCAGGAACTCCACAATACACAGTGTAAGCTCGGTTTCATTCCAGGAAGAAATGTTATCTGGCTTTACTTTTCCAAAATGTAATTCTAGTAATAAATCCTCACCATCTGCCACAAAATTCAGTCCAAGACATTCACATCTACCAACACTGACCTCGACATTCCTCACTGAATTCTTTACTGGTACAAAGAAGGTACCACCAGCCTCAGGGTTGTGCAGACTTCTTACCTCAAAATACCCTTAATTAAAACAGTAATTTTAATGAATTTGCACACAAGTGGCATGGAACTATTTGCGCTTAGATACGAGTATGAGATAAACCAGTCGTTTTTATCAAAGTCTGTTTGCACAAGAGCCTTTCCCACTCTCCACTTCCAGCACAATATTTATCCCTGCATGACATTTGATAACATATCAAACAGGAATTACTTCCGATTCCTCATTTTGGCACAAGTACATCAGGAAAGAGAAAGTATTCACTGGTGAATGTTTAATTAGTAACATCAAGATCTGACTAAGTCTTAAACACAAGAAGATCTGACTCTGGAGACCAGGAACATCGTGTGCTGCTCCAAATAAATAAATAAGGGTCATACAGAGCGGATTGAAAACTGACACTAAACCTCCCCAAAAGTACCTCCAGCACACATCACAGGAGTCATAAAGCCAAGTGAGGATGTCTAGGAAAGCTTCTGTGGCATTATTTTAATTGGGTTTGTTCCCCTCAGATCAAACACTAAAAAAAAGTTCAGCCACAGTGCCCAAAGAGGACAAAAGTCTGGAAGCAAGAACTTTAGGAAAGGCAGGGAATGCAAGACAACTCATGATGAAGAATCACAGCAGCTGCCTCTGGCAGAATCAATAAATTAAAGCTCTCAATAAAGAGTGAAAAACTTCCCACAAAGGGGAAACCTGCTTGTCCAAATCTTAGTATCTGTAAAACTCACAAGCAAAACAGAGCAGAGTTTAATTTTCTGCCCTAATCTTTACCTTTGTTGAGAAAGATGGGAGGAAATTGAAGCACAGGGAGAGCAAACGTACCGATTTTGGGATGAGATGTTGGCAGTGCAGCTTCAGGGAAAGGCGATATCTGGCAGTTGTCCTGGTAACTGGGATAGTGAGGCTCTGGATGAGACACCCGGCAAGGCTGCTGAACATTGGTGTCCTGAACTGCAGGAGAACAAGGGCCTTGGGAATCACTAACACACCTGGCAGGTGTTTCTCATGCTGCATTCACCCCTATGTTTTTATGTTTTATACAAGTTCCTACACTCTGTGGTAATTCCCAAGGGTTGAAAATGTGAAACAGCAGCAGGATCTCATACAGTCAGCAAGCAAAATACGCTGGTCCTGGCTCCACCATGCTCTGCTTTCACCTTTAGAGCCACAGGTTCCTTGGTTCCGTCCCACACATTGAAATATCCACAATCATCACAGGGCTCCAAACTCTGGTTCTCAGAGCAGGATCATTCCCCCAGGAGAGCTTACAACCCAAAGCATGACTCAAACTGAGGAACTGAAAGATATGTAATGCATTTGTATTTTGTTTGATTTATCCTGGCATTTTTCACTCCATTTCAACTCTCACCTAGTTTGGGGTTTTTTTGGTAGTATTTTCGGTTAAATGAGGAGTAAAAAAAAATTAAATTACAGAGATGAACATAAATCCCAGGAACACAGCAGAGGTGAACATTAGCAGCTGCCACACCTGGATAAAGCTTCTCCTTTGGTGCAACTGCTAAGATTTCAAACTGCTGAAATGATCTCACAGGAAGGACAGTGCCTTATGCAGTGTCTCCCTTGAGAAATAAATCCTTTGTGTTGCATTCAAAATGTTCCCTCCTACAGCAGTAGGCACCCAAACCTCTTTTCCTCGTCCCCAAGGCTGTCTAGGAGACACCTGAGCTCTTACCAGTGGCTCCAGTGAAAACATCCCCCTGCGCTGGGCTCTCTGAGATGATGGCTGTGGCCTCCACGGTGGATGCCCGGTCAAAGGTCAGCGCCCCGGAGGTTGTGATCTGTCCAGACGGAGTCATGGTGACTGGAAACATAAAAGCACTTTGATAATTAACACTCAGCACAGAGGACATGCCTGTCCAGCTCTTGATATCCCTGTGCTGCACCATCCAAGCTCAGGGGACTCACAGATCACCAGCCTGGGATAACCCAGTTTGGATCATACCTGTGACCAGTGCAGTTGGAAGTGGGAATAAAAGCCACAAGGGATTTCTGAAGCCTCTGCTGTCCTTCCAAGGCTCTGGGGACATGAGGCCAAAATGTTAATTTACAACCTAATACCTCTCAAATCACCACCTTTTCAGTTATTTTATGAACCATAACTTAACACCTCCCGTAATGATTCAGTGAGGCCACACACCTCATCTAATTCTGGCTGCTTGATGACAATTTTAGCAAGAGTGATTGTTGTTATTTAAATCAACATAACAACTTGTGCATTACAGCTAATTCCATGACAGCTGGGCAATTTTAGGTGTTTATCTACACAGAGTGATGGAATGTGCTCAGCCAATGCAAGGAAAAAGGCACAAAATCCTTCTGGATAATTATACCTGAGTGGCTTCCAAATGTTTTAAACCCATTTTAAAGAGGATTATTTTAACTGGTACCATTAATTAGTGATGGTCTGATTCTGTGGCACACAATAATTAAATTTTAAAATATTGTAGCTACAAATTCCTGGCTGGTGAAGTATGTGGCCACAAAAACAAGAAGTTCTCTCTTCCAGTGCCAACATGAAAGAATGAGCAGCCTCGCAGCACCTCACATAACAAACCAATAAAGATCAAACCTATCCGAGGACTAAAAAAACCAAAGCTACAAAACAACTCTGCAGAATCCTTGTGTTTCTCCTCCTACTCTTGCTGATGATCTAATCTTACTTTTTCTGTTCTTTTTTTAGATTTCTGTTGCTTCCTCCTTGACTCACTTTGTACTGTTACCGTGCAGATGATGCCAGTGTGCCGAGAGCAGGAGGACATATGGATGTGACTGGGGATGTGTGAGCTGGATCAGCCTGCAAATTAATTCCTGTTCTCACACAGATAATTTGCCAATCAAACCGGTAACTAACAAAGCTGAATGCTGGAGAGGGATTTGCAGATCAAAGCATCACCTTCTGCCTCCTTCATTAACAGCTTTCAGGCTGGGGGTTTCATTCCTGCTTCCAGGTTATTTTGCAAGGAATAGCACAAATCTTACTCCAGCTTCTAAGGGACACAAAGAAGCTCAGAGGATGGAATGGGGATTTCTGGCAGAGCAGAGAAGGGCCAGCCTCTCCCAAAACCTAATTCCAACAGGAAATTTCTCAGTTGTTATTTGTAAAAAATCTACCTGAAACCCACTATGGATCCAGGCCAGGATCCCATAATTCTCCCCTCACTGAGAGCAGGTACAGGGGGCAATATAATCTTAGACTATAACCATAGAATCCTGAAATGCTTGGGCTTGGAAGGGACCTTAAGGTCATCTCCTTCCACTGCCATACCATGGGCAGGGGCATCTTCTACTAAACCAGGCTGCTCCAAGCCCCATCCAACCTGGCCTTGAACAATTCCAGCCACAGGACATAATCCAAACCTCTCTCAGCACAAAATATGAAACCTGCTGTTCATGGCACAAGGATGTGATGATGCTTAAACCTGAGTGTCCTGGAGGTCTAGAGCTGCACTTTTTCCTATTCAATTTGTCTCCAGATGTGGCAACACTATGCTACTTTCTATAAAACAGGAAGTGATACTGAGACAATAAAATCAGCCAATGAAAAAAGGGACATTTTTTCTCAGCTGGACAGTTCCAAGGAGCCACTAACAGACATAGAACACCTAGCAGGGCAACTCCCCAAACACAGGAAGCTATTTTTACCAGGAGAAAAGAACCTACATGTAGTTGCAGCAGCGGCTGGAAGCAGAGTGATATTTTTGGAGCAATTCTTCTTCACTGGAGTTGCAGGTATTTCATTTTCTTTTTTCCGCCTTTTATATGGCACAAAGAGTCGTATAGGGCCACTCTGGGTAGAAAAACACCAGGAAAAAAAAATGAAAAGAAAAAAGGAAAAGGCATTAGCTGAGGCACCTCTTTGGAGACTTTGGGTTTACTCTCATCTTTCCAGGAACAGCAGCATGGATTCCCACGGATGATATGTGGTTTGTAACAATAGACCAAAGCTCTTTAAAAAACAAAAAGAACTTAAAAAACCCCCCATGTTAAACTCAGTTCCCTCCAGCTGAAGAGGCACAAATTCAACATCTTCCCAATATTATTTAAGGAGTAGAACTGGGCAGATAATCAGCTGCTGGCCAAGGTGGTGGAAGAAAAGAAAAAAAGAGGGAGGAGAAGAAAGGAAGAAGTTCCAGGCTAGAAAACAAGCACATCAGTCAGTTCATAGCAGAAAACAAAGGCAAAGCATCAGATCAACTTTCTGCTTCAGGACTTAAACCTCATTTTTGAAACAAACTAGCAAAAAATCAAATCCCAAATCAACTAACCAAAACCCCCAAGCAGTTTTAAAATGAAAATACTGACCTATTGTAAGATTATGATGTTACTTCTTTACAAAAATATTTTTCCAATTCAAAACATTGTAAAATTTGAGTCAAAAATCATGAATAGCACTGACATTCCCAAAGGGTATTTTGCATAGATATATTAATTAGAAACTGATAAAAAAAAGGAGAAAAAAGCACTAAATATGAACTAATTTTACTAAGGCTGTTCTGCAATAACGCCAGCAGTTCCTTATCTCCTTTCTCTACAGGACAGGGACAAAGCACTTGTCCCTGAACACTCATGTTTCAGGACACTCCATTCCCAGGACATTTATGACCTGCTCACCCAAGGGCTGTGGCAGCTTGACCGGTTAATTTGTCCAACAAAAATAATTAATTCCTAAAGTAATGGATGTAAAGCCTCCCACTCACCAGTGTCATGTCGTCACAGCAAGCGGCACAAGTACACGAGGCAGCATGGGGATTTAAAATCCCATCCTGGAATCAGAAGTGACCAGTTCAGCATGAGTCACCAAAATCACCCAGAGCACACCTTGATCCTGCTAAAAAAATGTGGATGCTCCCACAGTGGTACCCATTACCTCCTGGATGCTGTACAGTAACAGAGAGGCCAGATCCCTACACCATTGCAATGGGATGAGAGGAGAGAAAAGGAAAACCAAACCTTTTCCACACCCAAAGGCCAGGATATATGAATTTGAGATTTGATTTCTGCTCAAACAGAAATTGACTGTCAGCATAGTGGCAATGCCAAGTTCTCCAGAAGACTCAAATAAAGGACCCAAATAATGAATGGTGAAAATGAAGGATTTGTGGCAAGCAAAGACATTGAAGAAGATCAGGTTACTAATTACAGTACCATGGGTGAAAGCTCAATTCCTGTGGCACAGCTCAAGGCTGGGCTTCACCTTTCAGAAACTCTTTCCAGTATAAACAAGATTCCCAGTGTGCTATTTGAGACACATCAAAAAACAATTCCCCTACATCACTGACCCTCTACCAAACCAAGCACTGCTCCTGGTGCCATCAGCACCTGGCTCCAGCTGCCCCTTCCTGCAGAAAGGAGGGAGTAAACTTAACCTTACATGGATAAGGCACTGCAGGGGCCGCCCGGCGTAGCGGATGCTCCTCTTCCAGTCCTTGCTGCTGGCTCGCCCCGCCATGGCTTCGAACTCCGTGGGGCTGTACCAGTTGTCCCCTTGCTTAATGCACCTGCCACGGCCTCCTGAAGTAAAGCACCAAAGTACACTGTTAGCCCAGGTTAAGGATAATTGTGCCACTTCTCTAAAAAAGAAAATATGAAAATTGCTGGACAAAATAGCAGTTAATCTGTAACAACCACTAAATATGCCCATTGCTCTTGGCAAACTACGTCCATTTATTATCATGGCTGTGACTGACTGAGAATGGTCAGAGTTCCAACTCTGGGTCTCAAAAGGCTATTAAAATTACTCCTCCACAAGAAAGAAAAGTCTTTATTGGACAAACACCACAAATATAAGAATTTCCTTGGTTTGCACTTGAATTTCTCATCTTTTTTGTGTTTGTGGTAGGTCTAGAAGAAAACTTTCTGTCCACAAGCACTACACTGGGCAGCCAGGCTGACTAGCAATTTCTGCTGCAGTTTCCCCAGCTTCCCCACAGGGATAAAAGACAAGAGGAAGAGCTCAGGAGCCCCATGAAGAGACAAACTATTTGCATTCCAGCAGGGATTCTTCAGAGCTTTGCAAATACACAAGTCTACTCATGAGACAAAAAATCATTAAAAGAGTCAGCCTATTACTGAGGAGACTCACTGCATGGCAACCTAGATATTCGCAGGTTTAAGAAAAAGTTAAAAAGCCTCTGAAGAAAAAGCAAAACAAAAGGGAACAGTAAAATCAAAAGGCTCTGAGCTGGTTTGGAAACTTTCTTGTTTTTTTTTTCCTGTCACAATCAGCCCTTAAGAACAGCCTGATTAAAAGAAGAGTAGAGAAGGAGCTGTGCCACCCCTCAGCCCGGGTGGCAGTTACCTGAGCCCAGCCTGTTCTTGTACAGAATGCCACTGATATTCCGGCACCGCACCGGGAGCTCGTTCTCGTACACTGACGGGTCCCAGTTGTACTTGGTTCCACTTTTTCCCTGGACAGCCGCCAAAGGGGTAGGAGGAGACTGTGGTCCTTAGAGAAATGAGAAAAGAAAGGTGTCAGCAACCAAAAGGCAGAGTGGTGTTCCATCCCATGCTCAGCTGGGTGATATGCCAAGGGGTTGACTGAAGCAGCACAAAAAACTCAGCCTGAATGAACTAAGAAGGGCTGATAATTAAGCAAAGAGGACCAGCTGAGGAAACAGGATCTAACAAGAAATAAACACTGAGACTGTGACCTGATCCTTACACCACCTGTAAGCTATGGTGTAAGGAGCTGCCTAGAGATTGCCCTTCCCAGAGCCCATCCTGTGGGAAGCTTTAGAGCACTGAAGGTTTGCTATGCCATCTCGTGGGCAGCAAGGAAACCACCAGGCAGCCCTGAACAAAACGTCAGCGACAGAGACACCAAGGTATCAGCCTGAATGGTCACAGAAACGTGTTCCAGGACCCTTGGAAAGAAAACGTGCAGAACTGGAAGACTCGGATTTTTATCAACCATGTTAGAATGATCTGTGTGCCTTTGGGGGTGGGATGGATGTAGAAAGCCTGGTAGCAGGGCAAGATTTTTCAAGCAACTTCTTTGCCAGGGTTAGGGCAAAGAATGAGGAAAAAATTAAACACATTTCTGACAGGAAAAAAATAATACGCATTTTTTCATTCCCAAGAAATGCACAAAATACTTTGTGACGAGTTGGTATCTTAAAGGTCTTTTCCAACCTGCATAACTTTATGGTTTCAAGAGAGGGCAAACCATCCTTATAAAATTATGCACATATTTTTAGATACCAGAAAGACAAGTAGAATGGAGAAGAAGCCATCCCTCTGGGAGAGTGAGCCACCACAAGCATACTGTCTAGTACCTGGTGTGAGAGGTGCTGAGGGCCCCTTGATCCCGGTGGTTTCGACGATGCTGCCATCTGTGTGCACCACTATCAGAGTGGCTTTCTCAGGGTTCAAGCTGTCCCCAATTTGGAGGGCTGTTCTCCCAGACTGCAGAAGAAATAAAGAGTATAATTGATTAAAATACTTCAACACAAATAGATTTCAGTAACCTACAGGTACCCCAAAACTCCAATCAGTATGACAGTTATTAGGTTTTAATTTTTGAGTTTTCAGACAAGCAAATTCAAAGACTTCATGTTCCAGGCTACCAGTTCTGTTACAGATGTGTACATGGGGGTGGACAGGTAAAAACATTAGGAATAAAACCCCTGTATGCCCCCCAGCTTTAAATGGGTTTGTGGTTTAATGCCTAGATATTATAATGAAAACAAGTCTTTGACCTTACTACAGCTCTTCATCTACACTGAGAATCTTTGTCAAGGCCCTCAAATGAAAGGGCAGACTTACCAACACATGTCCTGAAATTGAAGCTGCATTGGCCACAGATGTAGTGAAAACATTGTCTGCAGAGGCCCCCACGTTGGCTACTGTCACCGTGGTGACTTCTGGAATGTAAAACAGGGTTAATTTAATTTTCTACTTCATGCAGAGAGCCTGATGAACTTCTGAAAAATTCCTTCTTCCTTCCTGTTCTAAATTAATTTTATTTTTCATGGCACCTGTAAGTTGTTATGAATACAATCATTCTGATTTGTATTAATATTTGGGTTCAACAGGCTTTAACCTCCTTGAAACCAGGGCAGTCACTATCAGTGTGCAATGACCTAAGGGAAAAAAAAGTATTGCAGCTGTACTAGGGACACTCTGAGCTGTAGTGCTTTTACTTGAATAGGGGTGACTGGCAGACATCAGGCTAAACTGAACAACAGACTGCCTCTGTCATGTATTAATTCCCATGGTGCCATGACCTGTGCACTTTGTCCAGTTAAGAGCTGACAAATGTACAGGCCAGCGTTTCTGCGGTGTTCAGCGCTTGGCCTGGCTCAAATCTCTGGTTTCCACGTGGGGTGGGGGTGAAAGAACAGCCGCTCGAGCGGAGAGCTCTGGCCGCTGTGACACCGCAGCTCGGCTGCACGACCCTGCTGGGGAGCGCTTGGTTATGGGACACGGGGCCGTGGCTCAGGCGCACCGGGCGCCTCTCGCTCTTTTACTGTGTGCGAAGGGGCGGAGTGTGGATTCGGTGAGGGGGTGGGAGCGCTGCCTGAGGGAGCTCGCTGTCCCAGCCCGAGCCCCGGGGGCTGTGTGGGGGCCGGAGCCCGGGCTGGGGGAGCCCCGGGCGGGCTGAGGGAGCGCTGCCCGCCCTGACCTGCGAAGGCAGCGGCGGCGGCGGCCTCGTCGGCGCTTGGCATTGACGGTGCTCCCATCTCGATGTGCTCGCCGTCTGCTGCCATCACCGTTACCGCCTCCTCCTCGGGCTCCGCCTCCCCCTCCGCTGCCTGCGGCGGCTCCTGCTGCCGCCCCGGTCCCGCGGGCAAGTCAAGCTGTCCGGCGGCCGGGTCGCCGTCGCTGTGCTCCATGCGCGGGGCCGGGGGTGGCCGAGCCCGCCCCGCCTCCCCTCGGGCGCGCCTGAGGGGGGTCCTGCGGGAAGGGGGGGGGACCAGGGAGCCGAGCGCCACCGAGCCTGCCCGACTGCTGACGAGCGTGTTCGGGGCCTTTCGACCGAGTTCCGATGAGGCCCGAAGCGGCCCGAGCCGCTCGGGCCCCGTGCGAAGGCGGCCGGCGCGTGCGCTCCCTGCCGGCTGGCCAATGGGGCGCGGCCGAGTCCGCGCGGCGCGGCCCGAAGCGGTACCTGACGGATCGGGTGAGACCCGAGCCCGCCCGAACGCGGCCGAGTCCCCGAGCAATGCGGCCCGTCGAGGCGAAGAGTCCCGAGCGCGCTCGAGCCGTGTCCGATCTCAGCCGAAGGCGGTAGCGAGGAGCTCCGATGTGTGCCGAGTCCTCTCCGATCGCACCCGAGCTCCGATCGCACCCGAGCTCCGCTCGCCGGCCTGAACGGAGACGCCCGAACGGGCAGCGCCCGAATCCGCCCGAAAGCGACCGAACCGGGCCGAACGCTCCGATCGCGCCCGAAGGCGGGTGGGCGGGACGAAGGGCTGCGCGCGGGCTGCCGGGACGGCGGAGGAGCGGAGGGCGGGGCGGGGGCGTCGGGATGGCGGTGCCGAGTCGAGGTGAGCTGTGTCGCGATAGCAACACTACAGCGACACGACAGCCTTTTCCGGGGCACCGGGGGGCTGTCTCCCACCGTGCTACAGGTGACCTCTCGCGGGGGAACACGACTAGAGCGAGGCGGGGCCGAGGTCGAGCCCAGCCCCGCTGGCATATCGCGACAATCCCGACGCGCTGAGGAGATCCCGATGGCGCCGTGAGCAGGGGCTTGGCGCATGGGCGGGCTGAGGAACACCTTGACCCCGGGAAAGATGCTTTCCTGAGGCCGAGAGACGCCTCGTGAAAATCCAGATCTTTGCTTCAATTTAGGAACTGCTGGGATTCAGAGGGGAAAAATTTCATCTTTAGAGTGGTCAAAATTATTAATTTTCAACCCTTTCACAGAGGTCAAAGTTTGATTCCAAAACTGTAAATTTCTACCGTGGGTAGGCAGAAGAAGGTGGCTGAGAAAATTTTTGCCGAATTCGAAGCAAAAAAAAAATCCTAATCCCAAACCTGTGCAATGAGGTGCTCTGGGCAATGTTAACCACATCTGCTGCCTTTAATACAGTTTCATGTTAAAAATTAAACCATTTTGTTAGAAAATGGGCCATGTTCCATCTCAAATCCCCATTCTCGGTGTCACTCACTCTAAAATCAGCATCAGTCTGGATAAATAACCAAGATTTTGTTGGGTAAAGCACTGAAATGAATATTTAGGTGGCTTAATGATCCCTCTTGACTCTGGTGTGCTCTGGGGTTTCAAGTTTATCCCTGTGAAATGTCCTGCTTGCTCTGAGGGAGGCAGCACATCCTCAGGAACTGTGGCTGCCATCCTGGCCTGGAACAGCTGCAGGAGGCTCACTGCCCTCTCCTAGGAAAGGATTAAAGAAGAGTTCAAATATAAAGTTGGGGAACTGCCCTGAGGGAATTCACTCGGAGTTCCCTGTGGGAATTCCATGACTGACTATTGTACAATTCAGCATCAGTGGTGTAGCTGCAGTTTTGGATATTGAATGAACATGGAATCATGGAATCCTGGAATGGTTTGGGTTGGAAGAGACCTTGAAACTCATCCAGTCCCACCTCCTACCATGGGCAGGGACACCTTCCACTATCCCAGGCTGCTCCAAGCCTCCTGCAACCTGGCCTTGGACACTGCCAGGGACGGGGCAGCCACAGCTTCCCTGGACACCCTGTGACTGGGCCTGCCACCCTCACAGGGAAGAATTTCTTCTCAGTATCAAAGAAAGTCCCCCTTGTCCTGTCACTCCTAAGTAACAGGATGAGTGAGGGGAGCCCCCAGTCCTTTACAGAGAGCTGAGAGGAGAGGATCAGGTCCAGGAGACATTTCAGATCATGGATACATGAATCATCTAAAATCATGTGCCTGTTCCCACTGTGTACCCAAACTGGATACTTTAATTAACTGCCTGGAGTTAGAGGGAATTAATTTGGGTCTAAATGCATAAAACGCTGAGGTGAAGAGGACATTGAGCTCAGGAATCCAGGGATGAGGATGGTGGTGTGACAATGACAAGCTGTCCCTGAGGAGACAGATGAAATGGCCTTTCACAGGTTTACTCTCCCTGGAACAGAAATCCCAGCTGTGCAATTCCTCATGTGTCTGAGAGAGGCCAAGAATACTAATGAGCAATTTAAGAGGTGCTTTAGTAGGTCAGTGCCATCATGTTGCATGAGAATTTAATGTGATTTTTGCAGAAAATAATAAGGAAAAATGTGAAATGTGTTGGTTGGATCATTGGAAATACTTGGTTTGATTTCTGTGGGCTGTCAGAAGACAGTGAGGTTGGATATGGAATGACTTTGTAAAGGGAACTGGTTTGGAGGGATGACATTTGGAGGGATGGTATTTAGAGGAACCTGGGAGCCCTGTGTTCTCCACAAACTTTCTCACAATTTACAAGCAAATGGATCCCATGTTCACCTCCTTCCTGCATAGTTAGAGGGGATGAAGTGTCATCTGCTAGGAAAGGACAGGATGAACAAGTTCTGGATAATGCCTGTGCACTCCTTCAGGCTTTGAAAGAGTCTAAAGTTCCTCACTGAAAGTGGCTTTTCCCAGTAGGGATTTTCCCCAAATTATTTGAGGCTTCATCTAGTTGAAAAGGTTATTTTTGGAACCTGAAGTCCATGATCTGGAAAACAATAAATGTTCCTGGGAGATGAAAAAAGAGATTCCTCCCAGAATATAGATACCATTGTTAAAATGTTTCTGGATTTAGACATATTTTCTTCTCTTTATTTTCTCTTTCTCCACGGAAAGGAAGAACATCAGAGATTGTATCCTTTCTGTACCACTGCTCCCTCCATGCAAGAATCCTGGAGAAGTCTGCCTCAAGTGGATTCCTACCTTCTGTCCAATATCTCTGCACAGTGCTGGCTCTGTGCTCCTGAATTTTCTGTCAGTGTCATCCACAGGAAGCACAACTGGGACCGTCTTGCTTCCAGTGGAAGATGTTTGGTGCAGGTTTAGCTGGGATTTGCCCCTGATGGGCTCCTGCTCTTGCAGAAACCTCTTTAGCGCCCCTGCAATTAAGACTTAACCCATTTTCTTAGGAAAGGAGGTTAAAATTTTGATTTATGGACTGGTGGACACACTCCCTGCATCACAGCTCACAGACAGCTGACACAGGTGACAAGGGGTAGTAAAAGCAGCCCTCAATAATAACTTCCTCCTCTCTTACAGTAAGTTACCCCACTTTACTCCTGCCAAGATTCAAGTAACCTCCTAGGAGGAGACACCCTTGGCTCTGGAGATTTCCATGCTTAGAACCTATCTAGTAATTTTTTGCTCCACCTTCCTTCAACTGGAAAAACCCCAAAACCTGGTTCTGTGTTAATAAAATGAGCTGCTCTGGGAACTGGAATCCATCCACGGAGCGTGGGTGGGTTTAGAAGCGGGATGGGCAGTTCCTGTAAAAGATACCTGGGATGAAATCCCTGCTTGGAGATATTTGTAGGTTTTGAAAAAGGCTGGGGGAGAGAGGGGAGTGAATTAAGGCTGTTTCTTAGGAATTTGCATCTCAAAGCTGAGCTCAGACAGGTATGGAGCAAAGCCTTTCCATGCTGTGGGCAGGAGCAAGGCCTGGCTGCTGCACAGAGCCACCTCTTCTCCAAACACGAGTTTGATGGAGTTTGCCAACTCTCTGCCTACTTCCTTAAGGCCGACTAAGAAGTGTAGAAGTAGTCTGGGGCAATGTACACATGCATCCCCCCCCATTCCTCAGGCTAACGGATACCCCACTACACTCTGAATAAAATTCCTTAAAAAGGGAACTAAAGCCAAGCCTGAAACAGCAGGCTTTTATCCCAGGCTGTGGTGTTTGCAGCCTCAAGTTCCTTCCTGACCCCTCCCCACAGCAGGCATAGCTGGACCATTCAGTATGAAGAGGGAGTGCAGTATATTTTGGGGTTACTGGGAAATGGTGATTTTATGGAATAGATCCCACCTCACTGCTATGAGAAATCCTTGACAACAGTTCTCAGCTGTCATCGCTTCCCTTACAGATCCTGCTTTATGTAAATGGCATTTATTACATCTTCTACTTCTTGGCAACTCTTGCAATGATTATTTACAAAAGTAAGTTGCAGGTATTGTCCCCAGAGCAAGCTGTGCTGATGCTCAGCTGGGTTTTGTCCTGCTGTGTCTTCCTGCTTTATTTACTCTGGTTTATTCTCTAGGTCAAGTTTTCAGTTATCCAGATGATTTTTTGGCTCCTGATCTTGCCGTGCTTTTCCTTATGGCCATTCTGGAAATGCCTAGATTGTACTTGGGTATGTCATACTATCAGTGCAACTGGAATGTAATCTTTAAACATGAATCATTTGGAGATGGAGTCTGTCAGTTGAGCAGATATTTGGAGACCCCTACACCTTTCCTTTCACTCCTGAGCAAGCACCAACACCTTCCTTTTCACTAAGATAGAAGAGTGGGAAGGGCCTCCTGACCTTGTCCAGAGCTTGCTAAAACTTCTTCAAGTCCAATTTTTAAAAAACCCAAATCACTATTAAAATCTGCTCAATATTCCCAAGACATTTATGTGGGGTGGGGCCCTTGAATCAATCTGAGTAGCTTTAGGGTTGGTTTTATTCCGCTGACTTAAAGCTGTCTGTGTATTTGCTTGGAGCCTGATCCATGAATAAAGAAGTGGGTTTCAACTCTAATGTAGTCAAACACCAAAATCTACTGAGATGGGCTTGGAAATAAGTGCAAGGAAGAGAGAAGGTGCCAGTCATCTGAAGCAGGAATAGATTAGCAGGGAACAAGACTTGAAAATGAGGGTTGGACTCCAGGAGTGCACTGAGATCACCATGTTGAGTGCAGGGCTGGGGGGCTCAGGAAGAGTTTGATGGTTGAAGCCAAGTGCTCAGAAGGATGCAGCTTGAGAAGTGAGTCTCTGTGCTAAGAAGAGGTGCCCTGGCTGTCATTATCAACTGATGAATTTATTTAGATTAACTTTGTTTAGTTTTCCTGTTTTGAAATGGATTGTCCATTGGTGTTGGGCTTGTTGTTTGATTGCTGGCAGAACTTTGATTCAGGCTGGTATTTCAATGTATTTTGAGTTTTTTTAGAACTCATTAAAAGCAAAGTCAGAACCAGGGCCTTTTTTGAGCAGGGATATCCTCGAGTTACAGCTTGAGCTGTTGTCAGAACAAATTGGGTTTCTGTTTCGTTGCAGGTTTCAGGGGTAACCTGACAGAAGCAGAGGTGCCGTTGGGGCTGAGCCTGGGGCTCACGGTGGGCAGCGTGGTGCTGTGTGTGTACCTGCTGCTGTGGCAGACCTACGTGCTGTGGGCAGATGTGCTCCTCAACGCCGTGCTGCTCTCAGCCTACGGGCTCGAGTCGGGGCTCAAGGTCACGGCCATCGCTGCCTTTGTCAGCTGAGCCCGGGCCCTTCCCACACGCCTGCCACGCATTCCTTCTCTGAAAGAGTGGGCTTCATTTCCACTGCTGATTCCTTTGTATATAAAAACCCTGTAAAGCTTCTCTCTGTTGAAATGAGAAGTTTTGGGGACATAGATGTCCTGCCCAGGAGCTGTGTGATGCTCTCCACCATTGGATTATTTATGGACAAAGGCAAGGGATGAATCGCAAAACACTTAACACTCTGGCATTCACCAGGGGTTAGTACTAAATATCCATTCCCAGCACAGGATAGGAGGCAGTGCTGCTGGCATGGTGGGAGTTTTCATGGCACAGGAGCAACATGCAGCCCAAGTGACACAGAAATGAATCAGGCCAGGGCTCACTTGTGCCTTGCCACGCACACGTCCGTGTTTGAGGGCACAGCTGCTCTGCTGCTCTCATTTGTGTTTCCAGACCTCAGTGGTAATTTCCCTGACTTTAGTAGGGCAGAACCTGATGTATCCCAGTGGGGGAGAGTGGAACTGGGTTTTGTGCATACCTGGAGAGCCAAGCCACAAGGTTTGGCAGCCAGTTCTTACTACATGAGGGGATGTTTGGTTAGACAGGATGGCTTTAAAATGAACAAAACCATTCACCATTCATTCTCTCTTCTGTCCTGTTTAAAAGTTCAGCAGAATGTTGGTAGTTTTATTTCTATTCAGTGTTAAATGTGCCTATTTCTACTATTTTTTAAAAATTACTACCTTCAAGTCTTAACTTCTAACTGGTGCAAGTGCAGAGTTTTTACTGTCTCTAAAATATGTGTTAATGGAAAGCTTTGGGAGTTCCTGGGTTTTTGAAGAAGCCTTTTTTCTATTCAGAATTTCCTATTTTTGTATTTATTTATTCATTCAAATAAATAATGGTTTAGATCTAAGGAGTGTTTGAAATGCAGAGCATCTTGTTCAGATCTTGGGCTCCAGCTAAATCATCCAGAGGAAGACTTGGGCAAGTCTGGATGTGTGTGGAAGCCTCTTCTGATCCTGATCCTGCTGCTGTTTGTAGCCCCTTCTCCTGTCCTTGGAAGGTCTGAGCTAATTTGCAATCACCGGGGCCTGAAAATTGTGGAGTGCAGGCCTGTGGCACCTCAGCCATGCTGCTCTTTGCTTTTTGGTGAGGGTAGAAAGGGACAGAATACACAAGTTCTGTGGAAGGGCCTAGTTTCATCCCTCAGTTATTCAGTGGTTGGACTTGATCATCACAGAAGGTTTATCCACTTAAGGATTCCAGTACCTAAAAGGGGCTTACAAGAAAGAGAGGGCTCTTTCACAAGAGCATGTAGTGACAGGATGAGGGGGAGTGGTGTCAGGCCAAAAGAGGATTGGTTTGGATGAGATACTAACAAGAAATTTGTGACTCAGAGGGTGCTGAGGCCCTGGCACAGGTTGCCCAGAGAAGCTGTGGCTGCCCCTGGATCCCTGGCAGTGTCCAAGGCCAGGTTGAATGGGACTTGCAACAACGTGGTCTAGTGGAAGGTGTCCCTGCCCTTAGCAGGGAGATAGAAGGAGATGGGCTTTAAAGTCCTGTCCAACCCCAACCTTTCTACTCCCAGGCCAGGTAACAGCAAGTTCTGTCCATATTACCCCACCAGACAGTCACAGTCAGAATATCCACTGGCACAAATCTCCTTGGACAGGTCCTGCTAAGCCAGGGCACAGCCGGCCCTTTGCTGCTCCCGCAGAAACATCACAGCAGCAGAACTGGGGCTAAAGAGCACCCAGGAAATGGAACAACCAAATTCTTCTGTGCTTAATCTGCCTGAATGGAGCCCCCACCTATTTGTCCTCTCAGAAGTTCTTGGCATGATGGAATGTGCCATCACATGCTTGTTCCAAGGAGTGACCAACATACCGAGCTGTCCCTGCCCTATTAAAGATCAAAGCACACAAGCAAAACTCTTCCTGGATGGGCACAAAAAAAAAAAAAAAAAAAAAAAAAAAAAAAAAAAAGCACAAGCTTTTCCTGGTGTTTGCACCTGCCTTACACGAAGGTCTGCCCACAGAACAACAGGCTCTAAAAGGAATATTGCAAAGTGGAATTTCTACCTGAATGCAGGTGATACAGCAAACAGGGTCCACACAGATTAATGTTGAGTCACAGCCTCTGTGCTTCACCTTCTTGGGTGATTACCACAAACAAAATAAACACAAAATATGAATTATAAAACATGGTGAACCCTTTGTTCCTTCCCCATCACCCAGGTGAAAAACAAGGCTCAAAAGAGTGCCAGTACTTGGTGATAGTGAGGCATGGGGTAAATATGCACACAGGATAACAAACATGAAGTTTTAGCTCATTTCAGGGCAGGGCCTGATGGCTGCAACTGCTCAGGGCCCTGGCTGGCTGTCAGTGCCTGCTGGGGTCAGCTGGCACCAACCTGGACTTGCATTCTCAAAAGGGCCGGACAGCTCTGGTTTCAGTTTTCTAGTTCCAGATAAAATTGTCCATGGACTCTTTCATGGGGTACTGCTGCTGCTGACAACCCTGTGCTCCATGATGAAGGATGAAGCCTGGAAGCTTCAGACAACTCCTTCATCCCAAGTATTTCCAGGCTTTCAATAGGAATTGTGTTGGTGTGCCTGATTACATGGTGGCATCTCTCGATGCTGAGCTGGTACAAAGACCCAAAGTGAATCAGCTTCAGAGAGTTTCCCTTACTAGGAGCTCCTTTCCAAACCATTCCCACTGCTTGAAGAAGCAGGGCACACATAGTGAAGCCATTGATGACATTTGTCAGACATACAATCGCTGGAGCTTTTAATTATGAGGCCCAGCCCTTCTGAAACAGGACAAGCAAGTTGGATGCAAACAGCATTAAAAATTTAGAGGAACACATATTTTGAGGAGCTGGGTTTGGGTGGTGTTTACTCGACAAGTCTTTGTTCTTGAGCCATCACAAGGGTGTCTGCCGCCAACCTGATTTAAAAGGCTGATCCCAGGAGGCTGACTTGCCTCCTGGGATTTCCAAATTGGAGATACTGGGAGATAGGGTGTTATGGGTCTGTGACTTTATGATGTCCCTCTGGAGTGGCCTCTCCAGTGAAGGAAGGAGGCTGAGGACATGCACTCAGTTGATTCCACACCTGGGAGCCACACCAGGAACCATCACCATACCACAGGGTGATTCCCTCCTGCCAAACCATTCCATGATTCTCCAGTTGCCTCTGGCCCACCCCCACCGGCACCAGCTGTCAGGTGGGACAGCTGGGAAGGTGTAATAAGCTCCGCTGTGGTTTTCTTCCCTGCCCAGAGGAAAAGTTGCTGCCTCTGCAGAGCAGTTAAGAAATTTGCTGTGGGGCACAGAAGCTCACAGTAGCCCTGTCTTCATTGTGAATGTGGAGCTGGATAGGAAGCAGTGCCTTAAAACACCATCCTGTCAACTCCCTGTTTGCATCCTAGGAAAGGCAGCCCAGCCCAGCAGTCCTCCTGAAACACCCCAGTGATACAGTTCAAGGAGTAGGGATCTCCTGCACAAAACCTTCTGGCTGCTGAGGCTCACAAGGCTCCAGCACAGCTGACATTCCCACTGCATTTCTCTTGTGTTGGACTGATATCTCTTCTCCTGCCTGGTACAGCAGGCATTCCCTAAATGCTGCTTTCCCTAGGGCTGGCCGTGTTTTTACAATATATTCCCTGGGTTCCTGGCGAGGAGGATGACGAGGCACGGCACTGGGTGGGAGTGTCACACCGAGTATCGGTTCGTGTTCTCCCGCAGCAGGAGAGGCCGTGGTCCTGCCAAACTCGAGCTGCTCTCCCCCTGCCCGCCCGGCTCACCCGGCCGCATTCCTCCCGCAGGAACTCACCGGGGCGGCTCCGTGCGGCGCCTGGACCCGGGCCAGCCCCTGCGCTGGGCATAAGCCCCTCAAAGAAACCCACAGCAGCGGGGAACTCAGCAAATGTCAAGCTAAGGAGTTTGGGTTTCTCCCAGACCACTGTCCTGATGGGGAAGCTTTTCCTTGTTCCTTTCCCTAGTGTCACAGTTACAGCTGTTTCCTCCCAGGGCCGGCGACACGGGGTCTCACTTCACATGTACATGGCAGGGGTTCAACACACAGCGTGGGCATGGTGGCGAAGCCTGCAGACACGTGCACTTCCATAAAAACACTCTCAAAAGCCTCAGTTTTAGAAGAAGAATGACTAACCAGAATTATCCCACCCTGCCATGGACACACTGGTATGACCCAGCTGATATCTTCCCTGCCAAGCACACCTTCCACTATCCCAGGTTGTTCCAAGCACTGTCTAACCTGGCCTTGAACAGTTCCAGGGATGGGGCAGGCACAGCTTCTCTGTGCCAGAACCTCAGCATCCCCACAGGGAAGAATTTGTTCCCAATATCCCATCTAAACCTCCTGTCTTTCATGGAAGGACTGGGGCAAAACGAAGGGTTTTATGGCCACATAACCCCAAGGAGCACAGTGCCACAGAGCGGGTACCCCAAAAGGGACTCTGCTCCACACCCCGGATTGCTTTGGGGCATGTGAGAGAAAGGAGGCTTTGCCTTTTCCCTCCATCTCCCAGCACCTTTCCTTGCCGCAGACGTCGGGACAGACAGCAGGCAGGGGCGATGCTGGAGGAAAACAAGCCGCGGAGCCAGCGCTGAGGAGAGCCCTGGGCTGCACAAAAGGTGCCTTGTTCCCCCATAAGGCGGTCGGGCAGCATGCCCCCTCCCTCACCGGCGATGGAAACTGAGCTCCAAACACTCCTTCATCTCCCCTCGCCACCTTCAACCTTCCTATTGGGTACAAAATGTTCTCGAAAGCAAGAAACCCGAAGTTTAACACGTCCCTCCTGGACTCTTGGTCGCCTTGCCTGGGGAGTGGGCGAAGGCTGCAGCAGCCCCCGGCGCTCCCGGGGCCACCGGATCCTGGTTATACAGTAACCTGTTGCTCCGGGTCCCAGCTCCACCTCTCGCTGCCTCCACATCCCTCCCCTCCTCTCTCCTCTGCCAAGGAACCTCTGTCACCTGCTCTCAGACACCCGGGGCGAGCGGCACCGGGAGGAAAGGGCAGCGGGGAGCCACGGCACAGGAACCCCCAGGCCGGGGTGCCGGGTGGGCTCTGCCTCCCACCCTCATTCAGCGTTCGGGGCATCGGGCTCACAGCCGGTGCAGAGAGGACACGCAGCTTGACTGCTGGAGAATGGCAGCAGGATTTAACTAGGAAGGCACGGAAAACTAGGAGAGAACTCACGGGAGCTGAGCGAACTGCGGGAGACGAGAGCGGCTTCTTAGCACCGGTGAGTCTCTCTTTGCAAATCCTAAAACTTCATCCCCTTCCCCAGCTTTTATCCACTTCAAAAGTCTCTCTGATTCTGCTGTGGAGGGAGAATGGCTGGAGAGGGGTTGTGGCTGGGAGAACTATCAGTGTACTTTTCTGTTGTTTTAGTTGAGAAATATGAAAAAAAGTACTTTTCCCAGCATTGTGTTTTCTGCGTTTTTTCCCCGTCCTAGTGATTCCCCACCGGGTGAGATCCAGTAGGTGGCACTTTCTTGGCAGCAAAATGTCTATCTGGCACAGAATGAGGCTTTTTTTTCTGTTCCTAACGAAGTCTGGAGACGTAGTTTTGAGCAGCTGTTTGTTTGCAAACCTCGGGGTTTCCTCTTTTGGGGAAATGCATTGAATTTCAGGCTGTTCCTCAGGCCCCTCAAAGAGCTGCTGGTCTTGGTGGGCAAGCTCTCCCTACCCCTCATCCTGGCAGGGTTCACCACCCGATTTCAGCACGGAGGGAAGCTTGGAGCTGCCCTGTTCCCTCTCATGACAGCTCTGCCTCCTGATGAGATTTCATCTACGTTATCAAGTCACAGCATTCCTGTCCCCTTTCTCTTATTTTCCTGGAAAATGCCAGTTCAAACTCCACTGAGGACAAGGCTCAGGGACAAATTATGTGACTGACATTATTTTCAAATACTGGAAATAACTGTGACACAGCACAGTAGTAAAATCCGGTGATTGCCCTGCTATAATTAGGGCAACGGGGAGTTAACGCTTGTGTTGCTGGGCTGCTCCAAAAGCAGGGATCAGATCCACCAATAGTTGCTCATCCAGGAGTGTCAGAACTTGGCTGGCATGTGCCCCAAAAAAGGACTTTCTCTGAGTAAAGAAGTGACAGAGGCTCAGCCCCCAGCTGATACAGCAGGGACCCACGCACGGTTTTGCTGATGGATGCCACAGGCAACAGCGCATTCCTGGCTCCGTTTTGCTCTGTGAGTTTTATGTTGATTAAGAAGGAAAATTAGTCCTTCACAGACAAAAAGGGCAGGCAGCAGTGCTGAACCAAGGAGCCCTTTAAAACAGGACTGGGAAGAGGGACTTGAGATCTACTGTGGGAAGGTGTCTGTGAGAGGCAAAGGTTGTTGGTTGGCCATGTTTAAAACCAAAGCTTGAATTGGTGTTTGGGACAACACGACAGCTCAGATCCACTGTGGTCAGGCCTGCATTGTTCCTGCTGTTGGTTTCCGCAGCTGAAGCCTTGGGAAGGAGCTCGTGTTCTTCCAACTATATCTCTCTAGGTGGTCTTAGAGCAGGATCTACTCCGCTGTACTCAGCAGGGCAGGGTGGGTTTATCATATAATCATAGAGCTTAGAGGAGCAGGGGATGTTTTTGGGCACCCGAGGAAAAGTTTGGCACCAGCATAGTTGAACTGGCTGTTGGTGAAGTCCCGGGAAGGGAGCAGCTGCAAGTGACGCTGGAGAATGGCTGTGACGTGTGCGCACTGCGAGTGTGGGGCCAGGGAGCAGTTTGACAAGACAAGCTTTGAGTCCTTGGCTTTCTGCCCCTCTGCCATCACCCCTGATGTCAGGGTGGGCACAGACACCATGAGAGAGGAGGGCAGCCAGGATCCTGCTCAGCACCAGGAGGAAATGTCTTCTGAGCCACAGGACAGGTATTGCAGGGGCAGACAGAATATGCCTCCAGTGTCCACCTTTGCTGACTGCAAACCACTCACCATCAGTCAGGGTGACAAAACCTATCCTTGAGCCTGAAATAGCCCTGCAGATCATTGCTCCTGGGTCTTCATCTGCCCAACTCCCATGGATGGTGTGTTGGGTCAAGGGCAGGACAAGATGATCTCAAAGATTTCTTCCAACCATGACAATTCTCTGAAGGACACTGAAGAGCAGATGCTGTCTGTGGTGATGTCACAGCATCCACCATTTTGTCAGGCTGTGACAAATTGTCATGGCTGCCTGCCTGGATTCATCCAAGGGCATGAAGAGACAGGGAAGGGTTGCTCAGGAGGAGCTCTGGCCTGCTTGCTTCGCTCTGGTCACTCAACCAGGCTGTAAGTCCTGAGAGGAGACCCTGCTGGGGCATGGTTGCAGGGCCAAACCTGCCAGAGGTTTGTTGGCATCTGCCCTTGGATGAGATGGCTTGGAATGTGCTAGAAAACAAAATGCTTTTCATAGGGTCAGAGGATCATTCGGGAAAAGAAAGATTCACAAGAGACACTAATGCACTGTAGAACTTCGGAGGTTTCAGTCCTTGTGGCAAAAAAAAAAATAAATTAGTGAAACAGGGAGAACAAATGCGTTGGCTTGTGTGGGCTTGAGAAACATCCATATGAAATAAGTCCTGAGTGCGTGGGGGACTCTTGGAGTATTATTCCCAGAGGGCTGGATCCGGGGGTGCTGCTTTGGAGCACTTTCCGTCATACTCTTGGCTTTCTCCCTTCCATGCCGTGGTCTCTCTGAGTGCCGGGCCAGGGCAGGTTTGTGGTTTTGAAGAAGACTCAGTGTTTTAGTCCTTGAATGGGGCTTATCAAGGCTCATAACTCCTTTCCACAAGTCAGCAGCACTGCCCTTCCCTCCAGGGTGGACAGGAATGTGCGGCCTTTAGCCTGCGAGTTTGCTGTCATTAGCAATAAAAGAATCACCCTTGGAAAATACTCAAGCCTAGCCTAGTGACCCCCAAACAGAAGTGCCAAGTAAAGTCCACAGATTTGCTGGAGTGACAGAGATGGCCTCCTGCACTCTGCTAGAGCTTTACCAGCAGCTCAGTGTCTGCCTAGAATGGCAGCTCCCACGGAGTGCCAACAGCACTTGGCTCTACCAGCACGGCATCCTGAACCACCTGTTTGGCCAAGGCACAGCAGTTGCCCAGAAAAATACCCATCTGCCTGCCCAGGAGGTATTCATGTTTCCCGGTCCAAAGGAATGGAAGAGTGGTACCTCCAGAAACCCTCCCTGGTCATCCGACTGCATTGTAGGAGAGTCCTTGCACCGTCAGAAATGGTGCTAGGCACTGTACAACACCTGAGAGATGCAGGAAACGAGATCCAAGGAGGCCCAGGAGGCCTGAGAGCACAGTTTGGCTCTGGATCTCCACCTGCCCGCAAGACCATAGTTAGGAATGCAGCACAGCAGAAAGATTTTCATGGAGTGCAGAGGCTGTGAACAGCATCTTTGTCTGCTTGCAGTTGGTTTGAAATGTCAAGCTCAGGGAAAAATATGCTGCTACCCGTCCCTAAAGGGGATGAAGAGAAGGGGATCCAGGGAGAGCTGCTCCCACATGGACATGGCCACCTCTGCACATAGGTGAGGGTTTGTCTTTTCCCAAGGCAGTGAGAGTTTTCCATTCTCCTGGGCTGGCGACAGTACCGCCTCCGAAATTGAAATGCACTATGCCAGGGGGGGTAACCAAAAAAGTCCTGGCATTTTACTTCCTGGTAATCCAGATAAATTAGGAAGAATTGCAATTAAGAAGGGAGGGAAGGGTGTGTAGCTGAGCTGGACCGGTTTGGAGATATTTCCCATTCACCTGAATTGCAATTCCCCAGGAGAGCCCAGCCCTTATTCCCATTCCCCAAGTGCTCCCAAGGGCGTTACTGCACTGTGCTCACTGCCACTGAGGATCTGCTGAGGAACAGAACAAAAGCTTCCAACCCCCTTGAAGAAGTGGGGAGTCACAGGCTCTGCCTCCTCAGCTGCCCTGGGACAAGGACTAAAGTGCCCAGACAAGCTGCTGGGGCCCTGATTTGGTTGGAAGCACCAAGTGAGGCCTGGTGGTGCCTGTTCCTGCAGGCACAGTGGGATCTGGGGACCCTCACAAGGCAAGAGGCTGGTGGCAGAAGCTGGGCTGCTCCAGCCTGTCTGGCACAGAGCTAGACCCTGCTGGGATGCTCTGTGCCTTTACATCCATCCCTGCCCCCAGAGGAGGGTCAAAATCAACCCCTCTCACTAGCATTTCCCACAAAGGTTATCCTTGTCCTGCTGAGATGGGCAAACACATCTCATATGTGAGAAATCCTCATCTCCAGTGCCAGGGGCACATTCCCCCATCTAGTCCACACTTGGGGTTTCACCTGTTGAGGTATTAGCCCACCTGTTCTCCTTTCCTTTCCCACTCCCTAGACAGAGCCACAGCTCCTAGCAGCAATTTCAGCTGTAATGGAGGAGCTGAGCACCCTTGGGGCAACAGAATAGGATTTTGCAACAGCCTTGTCTGTCGTGAGGGGCAGGTGTGGCACAAATGAGCCCTCACTGCTCATGGGCCTCCAGCCTAGCCTTGCCCCAGGTGAAGGCAGAACTTTCCATGGCTGGTGGAACAGGAACTCTCCACATTTGTGGGCTGAGGTCTTTCAGCACTGCCTTGGAATGGGACAGAAAATTCTTCCCTATTTTTGGTTTCTGGCTGGGGCACTGACCCCCAAAAGCTTTCATAATTTGAATTTAAGTTTAGTCCTTCCTGCTTCTTTTTCTTTTTTCCCTTCCTCTGTCTTATCAGTCTCAACTTGTCCAGATCTATATCCTACAAAGGTAAAGTGCAGCCCATCCAAATGGCAATAAACCAAAGTTCAGGCACCACAGCTGATTCAGAAAGTGAAGTAGTGCTGTTGGTGTGATGGTGATTGGGATCAAGCTGAGTCAACACCACCCTCCCCCAGACTGTTTATACCTAGCTTCCCTGTCACTCAAGATGGACTGAAGTGGAAATCATGGGAGCTTACAAGTGTTGGCTGCTGGAACTAGAGCTAAGGGTGGCTCCAGACTCCCTCACCAGAAAGTACAAGGTGAATCCCAAACCTGACCCACCTCACTGCTGTGGAGATACCAGCAGTTTGTCCTAGTCTGTCACTCATTCCTCATTGCCACCATCAGGACTCTCTTGGGTCAATCCTTGTCCCACCACTGCTGCCAGCCAGAACTGTTAACTTGTGGACACAAACTCTTCCAAGTCCTCCAAACTCCTCTGTGCCCTTTTCACAAGAACATGGAGTGACAGGACAAGGTGGAATG